GGACCGCCCCCGCCGGAGTCGGGCTGGGTTTATTGGGAGACCTGCGCGGAGTGCGCGCGAGCCTGCAGCCGGCGCTGGAGCGCAGTCAGCACCCTGCGCGTCCGGCAAAGGGGACCTGGCACTCTGGAAAGTCAGGTTGTCAGCACCGGAGCTCCAGGACAGATCGTGGGTGGTGGTGGCATCCCGACCGCCTCGTCCGGCCTGCGGGGTGGGGCGCCCCCTTCCCACGCTCTTTTGGAACAGTTCCCACCTTCCCGCCGCCTCTGCCCTCCGAAACGCCCTGAGACTGGGCTGAGCTCCCCTTGCAAACACGGCATCCTGCTGCTCATACTTCAGGAATACTTCTCTGTGATGCAAGCTCCACGTTTGACAGGTGGAGATACTGAGACCCACAGAAATCCCGGAGCCCGAACCGTGGTATATACATAGGAGTGTAGAGCTCTGCGGAGTGCCACCCTAGATAACACCACAGCGACTGTTGGCCCAGAAGGACTTTGCAACCCAACTTAAAGCATTTCCCGCAGGCTCTGGGCGTGGTCGGCAGTGAGTTTAACCGTCCGACTCCACTGCCCTTACTTCCACCGTTGTTTTAGGGGCACAGTCTGGGACACAGAAAGTTCTGCACACTTTTCAGGTTTCTGAATATTGAACGTGGTACAAGGTGATTTTTAGTGTTGGTTTAACCCATAGAACTGCTAAGGCGGCAGTTAATAGTAAAAAGCTCTGCCTCTTCTTTCCAGGGCTGCTTCCCCATTATTCACCCCTACAAGGTGCAACAAAATTGCTTTCCTTGAGTCACATTTACCAATGTAGGGCCAGCAGGTGACTCAGAGGTTGGGGCGGCTAGATCCCACATAGTTGACTGCAGTTCGAATCCTGGACCAGAGGCTTGAAAATCATGCCAGGCGCGCACGTGTGTGTGTGTGCCCAAAAATCCAGAGGAGAATGGAGAAGGGATAGCGGTATGGTCATCCCTTCTGGAGGGTGCTATCTCACTCCCCTCACCCTCTGGGGAGCGCATACACCCTATAGCAAACTAAAAATCAGTTTATGTATACACACACAGACAAGGGATTAAGATGAGAATCTCTTTTTAGGTATTATCAGTCCAGTAAATACTGTTTAGCAGGAAGGGGAACATTAACCACCAGGAACAAGTGTAGGTAGTTGGGTGCACTGATGGACTCCTTGTAACAAGAGTTTAATAAGACAGACAGGACAGGTTTATTGACATGTATATGTTGGGATGAAGGAAATCTCACTACAAAAAAAAAATCACTGATCATAGGCAGATTAACAAGGGAAAGACAGGACGGAAGGTGACATGCTGGACTCCCCACTGTGGCTCAAATTCCAGACCTGGCAGCTTGATTCCTCACTTTCTCTCTCTGTCCCTCTCTGGTGAAATTTAAATAAATTAATTAAAAAAATACTTCCTTAAATAATAAGGGAAAGGCATAATTACCTATTTAATGTATACCTGTGCATATGGGAACTGTACAAAGTGAGCCTGAAGGACAGGCCAAACGACTCCAGGTTTTACATCGCACTGGACAGAAGAGGTTTCAGAGGTAAGAAAGGGTGAGGGGAGGAAAATCATCTTTCTGGGCCAGATGTCAGACCTCTGATCCTTTTCTTCCTGTCCAAAAAGAGGTAAAGAAAGCCTACTTGCATCAGCTGCTGAGGTACATTTCTTTTACAAAAGATTAACCTTTATTATTATTTTTTTAAAAGTTAATTACTATCTACAGACCCTCTGAATAGTTAGTTATCTCTGGGGCTGACAGGTGATGTGGTGGTTGGGGACTGGACTACCACATGACTGCCTGCAGTTCAAGTCCTGGGTCTGGCAGCTTGCTTTTTTGCGTGCACTCTTTCTTTCTCTTTCTTTGTCAAATTGAAAAATGTAAAAATAAATAAATGATAGAAAAATTGAAGAATAATGATAATGATGAATAAAATGAAATAAATAGGGACTGGCAGGTGGTGTGATGGTTAAGACTCTGGACTCCCACATGATCAACTGTGGTTTGAATCTTGTTTGAATCTTGGACCTGGCGACTTGCTTTCTTGCTTTCTCTTTCTCTCTCATTCTCTGTCTCTCTCTGGTCAAATTAAAATAATAAGAATACAGGCCGGCAGGTGGCATGGTGGTTAGGACTCCCACATGGCTAATCAGTTTGAGTCCTGGACCTGACAGGACTTTCTCACTTTCTTTCTCTCTCTGATCAACTTGAAAAAAAAAAAAAAGACAATTAATAAAATTAAACAAAATAATTCTTTAAGAATAATAAGAATAAAAACAAATAAAAAAATTAAATCTTTAAAAAATTAAATAATTCTTGGGGACGAGCAGTTGACATACTGGCTAAGTCACTGGACTCCCGTGTAGTCGACTGCAGTTTCCTGTCCCGGACCCAGAAGCTTAAACTCATACTGGGCGCGTGTGCATGCCTAAGATCCAGAGAAGAGAATGGAGGAGAAGGGATTACGGTGTGGCCATCCTCCCCCCCCACCCGGGGAGGGGGTGTGATTTCTCACTTCTGTGTCTCTGTCTCTGTCTTTCTGGTGAGCGCATGTACCCTAGAGCAAAAACCTCTCAAAAAAAAAAAAAAA